CTGGAATTTTCTCGTTCCTTCGTGTTCTTGATTTTCTATCCGTGTTCTCTGTGATTCGTTCGTTCTCTTCTGGTTTTCATGGCGAACGATTCTTCTTCTCAATCTGATCCTTCGTTTCATCGAGGATCAATTCCGCCATTGAAGATGGTTCCAGTCCTTATTATCTTCATCATTTAGATAATCCTAGGCTAATTCTTGTGTCGCAACCACTGACTGAAGACAATTACGCTTCGTGGAGTCGAGCTATGGTGATTGCTCTGTCAGTGAAGAACAAGTTAGGGTTTATTGATGGATCCATTCCTCGTCTTGATGGTAATGATTCTCTTCTCAATTCTTGGATTCGGAACAATAACATGATTATTTCTTGGATTCTTAACTCTGTTTCTAAGGAGATTTTTGCTAGTGTTATATACTCCGATTCTGCTTATGAAATGTGGTTAGATCTTAAAGAATGTTTTCAGCAGAAAAATAGACCTAGTATTTTTCAATTGAGGTGTGATCTGATGAATCACACTCAAGGTTCATCTTTTGTAGGCCTTTTTGTTCTTGTGGAAAGTGTGTTTGTGGAGGAACTAAAGCACTTGCAGATAATTATCAAATGGAGTAAGTTATGAGTTTCTTGATGGGCTTGCATGATTCTTTTGCTCAAGTGCGTGGTCAATTGCTATTAATGGATCCAATTCCTCCCATCAACAAGGTTTTCTCCCTTACTTTTGAAGAAGCAAATTAGAGGCTATAGAGACTAACAACACAGTGTACAATTCTAACAAACTCTTATATACAATATTTACACATGCTCTGTTAATTTATATATATATATAAAATCATATAGGTAATTTGTATGTGTAATATATTATTTTTATGGTAAATAAATATATAGAAATTAACGACATGAAATAAGATAGAGGGTCATATAATATCACGACATCATGAAGTACAATTACAAACATTCCATTAAACGTTTGTTTACTAATTAAGAAGCTATATGTACTAATAATTAAGTAGTACATAAGATAAGTTAATTATTGAAAATTTTTATATAGCTTTACTCCAAAAATATTGACATAACAATTGTAAAAAAATATTTTAAATAAGAAATTGAAAAACTTATAAATATTATAAGTATAAAATTCTGTGGAGATGCTTAATTAAGGTGGCGTTTGATGTTTTATTTAAAAATTCAATTTATATTGAATAATTTAAAATTATAAACTTATGTAGGTAATATCTTAAAAATATACTAGACCTTTGTTATTTTTTATGTTATTATTTTCTCCATATATATATACTGTATTTGTCTCTTTCTTTAAATTTAATTGCCAAAACATATATCTGTTCTTGTTTTTTATTTTCTCGTTTGTTCTTTCAGCGATACTTGTTCCCATATATTAAGAATGGCAAATGAGTTGGGGTGGGTGGAGGCCCAACCCAATTAAACTTTTAAAATTTTATTTCTAGCCCATCCCAACTAACAATTTAAAAGGGAAGTGATTTTTTTTAATCCCTATCAAGTTTTTTAGCATGACCTACTTTTAAATGTTTTTTGTTTTGATAAGTTTAACTTGAATGAAAATTATTAGAAAAGATATTATAATTCTATATATAGTTATACTCTATAAACTTATTGAAGCTTATAAAAAACTCTTCATAGACCCCACATAACAAAAAACTCTTAAAAAAAATTAATATATAAACATACAATTTAAGCGAAAAATGTGATTGTCCAAAAATAGAATGGTTCTATTTATCACAAAAATAGAGTACCTGCTATCTGCTACTAATGGAAGCTAAGCTGCCCTAGGGAAGTTTACTTCTCAGGTGTGTTTGGTTTTGATAATGTTTTATTACACAAAAAAAAAAAAAAAAAAAAAGATTACCAATGAGTTAGATAACTTTAAAGGGGCATTTGACTAGGGCTTTTGAGAAATATTACTGTGTTTTTTAATTCTTTTTAGACCCTTAAGTTTATTAATTTCATTAAATACCCTCATAAAAAAAGTTTAAAAATTAGCAAAAACACCCCCACCCACCCATACTTGCTAGATTCCAAAAATCACCGTCGGTGATAGTTGGAATCTGTCACAACGGCTTACACCACGACCGGAACTGGCCTGTAATGTTTTATTATAAGGGAATGTTATATTAACGGAAAAATACATCACCTTGAAGATTATTGAAAATGTTTAAAAAATGTGTTTGGTTGGTTCGAATAAATTTGTGAATAATATGTTTGGTTGGGAGATAAATGAGTGGGTATGTTATATAGATTACTAAATTGCCCTCCTTTTAAAATATTAAAATATTATTATTTTTTGAATAATTTTTTTAACCCCCTACATTTGAAATTTTGCTAAAACACCTCAACCATATAAAACTTTAATTTGTAGCAAAATCATCCCCACCCACCTCAAGCCATTGCCGGTAGCTAGCCACTACCGTCGGCTGCTAGCGGCAGTTGATGGAATGACGCACGACTGGCCGTATATGGTCGATCGTGCACTAGCAAAGCCATTTCTAGTTTCACGACTAGATATATGACCATTTCATGGCCAAAGATATGGTCGTGAAAAGGCTAGATCTTTGGTCGTGAAATCTGTAGCCGTTTCACGACCATATCTTTGACTGTAAAACGACCATAGAAACGGCCAGATTTGGCCGTTTCTGGCTATAGATCACAATCTATGGTCGGAAAAAGCCTTGTTGGTGCACAATTGACTAGATCCTATTGGTCATGCACTATTACGGTGACTGACGCCGACGACTGGAGGTGGTGAGTAACGGCCGGTGGTGGTCTTGGTTGGTTGAAGGTATTTTGTTAACATTTAAATTTTTTGTGGCTACGATGTTTTAGCTAATTTCTCAAATGTAAGGGGGTTGGGTAATTGTTATTTGATAGACATTTGAGGGTAATTGTATCCAAAATGGTATTTAATTAAGGGTAAAATAGGTATAAAAATCAGATTACCTAATAATCTTTCAATCCCAGGGGTGGGGGAGGGTATCAAATTACCCCCCATATTACCAGCAGCAAACACTATTTGCAATAAAAGATTCCCGTAATATTTTATTACTTGCAAACCAAACATCGAAATCTTGCAAAATAAACGAAGATTATTCCTGTTATCTTATATGCCTCCAATCCAAACACACCCAACAGGTAATAAAGAATTCCAATAATCTTTTATTACTCAAGTTATATGAGAGGTGATATAGGGGGTTATGTGATTACTGACTCTGAGGACGGTATTTTAATATTAATGTGGTATTTTAATATTAATGTGGTAATCATATTTTTATTCCAATTTTACCTTTACTTAACAAAAATTTCGAACACAAATGTCCTCCAATTGATGTCAAATAACAATTAACCCAACTTGTTGAATGACTTCTTTAACCTTATTAATTAATTATTTGGACAAAGATGCCCCGTATTTTAACAGGATTATATATATATAATCATGTTAAAATAATATCTAATTATTTTGTAATTAGTGTTAACTAAACACACTAATTATTTATATAGCCCACACGAATCAAACACAATAATAATTTATACACATTAATTATTTTTGTATAAAATGTATTATCCTTCTCTTATTTGAGGCAATTTTGAAGAAATTAGCTTAAAACCCTAAGTTAGAAGAATAAGGAGGTAAGGATGAGAAACTACCTAAATTAATACCTTACCCAAGAAAAATAGATGTCAAATTTCACTTTCCTAACGATCTTCCTTTTCTCCTTTCTTTCTCTTTTTCTTATTCTTTGACGTCTATTTTTCATGGGTAAAGAGAGAAGGAAGAAGGAAGAGCCGGAAAAGAGAAAAAGGAAGAAGGAAGAGAAAAAAGGTGAAAAGATAAAAAGAAGAAGGAAAAGAGAGGAAAAGGTGTAGATCGACTGGAAAATCATTAGGAAAGTGAAATTTGACATCTATTTTTCATGGGTAAGGTATTAATTTGGGTAATTTCTCATCCTTACCTCTTTATTCTTCTAATTTAGGGATTTAAGTTAATTTCTTCAAAATTGGCTCAAATAGGAGAAAAGAACAAGATTTTTAGAGGGGTTTCAGTATTTGAGTTGAGCTTCACGAGTTGTCTCAAATTTTAACTTTTACTTTAATAAAAGTTATTTCAATGTCTATTAAGAATGATTATTGACTTATTTTGCCATAATCATTTGATTTCTCTATGGAAATGAGCTTTAATACAATTTTTTTTTGTTGATTGACATGAGAAAGATTGATTTTTTGATGTTTTTGCGCAAGATCGTATGCGTATGATTAGTTGTGATTCCGCTTGAGCGATGTAGGATGCTACCGGGTGTGATAGATTTTATATGCCAGCTCGAGTGATGCAGGATTCCACAAGGTCGAAGTGCTTGAGAAATGCAGAATTCCACTAGGCTAGATGGACTTAGTGTAACTACCCAAGCCATGATAGATTTTGCCGAGTAGGACAAATTTATCCCTGGGTACTAGTTGTGATGAGAAATTTCAGCATGGGCTGTGAGAGATGCCTCAGATTTACATGATGTGCTTATTGAAAAAAATAAAAAAAATAAGAGTTTACATGTATAAAGGTTTCATTACATATTGAATGTTTAGAAATGTTTTTAGAAAACATCCACTCAGTGAGTATTTTAGTTGACCCCACACACCCCCGTCGGGAGCAGTGCTGAGGATTGATTGCACTCGAGGTTAGGGCACACGACATCATCCCATGTTTTGATTGTAAAAGAATATAAAAAACCCGATACCATGTGTTTTCAAAATTGAGATGCATTTGTGGACAAGTTTAATTATGATGAAAGGAATGGGAAATGTTTTACGATGTTATCAAGAAAAACAGGTTTTATGGTTTGAGTTTTCCTACATGACATATCTTGGTCACTCGAGTCTCATGTGTACGCCCGGAGCTTGTGGGATAAGGAGGGTTAGGGTGGGTCATGTCAAATCTGAAACATTGAGGCTATTCCCACCACTTCCATGTAACAATAGGACGGCAATGGCAGCAGACAGCCTTCCAAGCGGCCATAATGTAAAGAAAAACTCATTGATTTTAGTGTCTTTGTATGCAATGGGAAGAATAAAATGGATTTGGGGAGAGGATTGCGAAGAATTCAAGCCAGAGATATGGATTGCTGAAGATGGAGGGTTTAAAAATCACCCAGGAAACAAATTTTCTGCCTTCAATTCAAGGCCGAGAATTTGTCCAGGAAGGAAGTTACTTTTATCCTAATGAAGGCTGTTGTGGCTTCTATTTTTCATAACTAGGATGTTGAGGTAGTAGAAAATCAAGAGGTGATCCCCAATTTTAGTTTCGCCTTATCCTTGAAGCATGGGTTAATAGCTAGGATTAGGAGTAGATCATCTTGATGCAGGCTTTTTTGTATTCTATTTTAATATAAATTTGACAACTTTGACTCTAATAGAGAAAAAACCAGTTTTCGCCAGAAAGGATACAACACCTCTTCTAACATTGTTTTGAGTCAAAACACCACTCCTAACATTGGTTTGAGTCAGGAGAGATGCGAGGAAGAAAATTGGTCGCGAAAGCAGGTTTTTTCTGTAGTGATATAACTTATTATTATAAACTTTTTTATAAAGCACGATTGCATGAGGAAAAAATTATTATGTAATTGATCATGTATTTCTGTCTAGCCTTTAATATTGAGGCAATCTTCTAAGACATAAGTAACTAAAAGGAGTCTAGCTAGTACCATTGAGCACAAAATAACGATAATTTATTAATTTTATTAGTAAAATATAAAAAAGACAATGAAACATGCACATACATACAAGTAATTACAAAATATATTTGCATTATAGTTAAAAAAAATTATAATTTACGTAGCATTATTTTATTTATGATTTGTTTATATCAACAATAAAGAGAAAGGTAAGCTCTGAGAACTCCATAAGCATTATCTGCACCATCCCATGTTTTCTCCTTTATACTGCATATTTTTAGCTCTTGTTTCTGCACTTCCCGTCACTGTTACTTCTGCATTTCACCTGTTTTTACTGCTAAAAACACACAAAACACAATTGCTATGACTTGTAATTATAACTATAAAATTATCTCTTCTAAGTAACTTCATTAACACTTGAAGCTGATTGTTTTCAAATCTTCACAACCATGATTTTACTCTTAGCCTGCCTTCTATGCATGTTCTTGGCCATTACTTTCATTCTTTTTCTCAGATTTTACAGAAACAGCAACAAGCTGGCCCTCCGCCATTTGCCCATCTTCGGACTTTTGCCTGAAGTTCTTCTTGATCTCCACCTCTTCCATGACAAACTGAGTAAAATTTTGAGGACAAGAAAGGGCACAATCCTCATCAATTACTGGCTATCGCCAAACAGTATCTTACTTACCAGTGATCCTGCTAATGTCCACTACATGCTCACCACAAACTTCTCAAGATATCCCAAAGGCTCCGAATGGCGAAAGCGATTCGATGTTTTTGGCCATGGTCTTTTCAATTCTGATTTTGAAGAATGGACGTTGCAAAGAAAAGCTGCCCGGGGATTCTTAACTCACGCAAAGTTTCATCAACTTACTGCGAAAAGTGTCCCTGAAATTATCGAGGAAGGACTCATCCCAGTTCTTGAACACGCCTGTAAAAAAGATTTAGCTGTGGACTTGCAGGATTTGATAAAGAGGTATACATTTGATTATGCGACGATTATCGCCAGTGGTTGTAATTCAAAATCTCTCTCTGTTGAATTGCCGGAAATACCATTTTCTAAGGCGTTAGATGATGCGGGTGAAGCGATATTCTTTCGGCATATTGTGCCTGAAACGTTGTGGAAGTTGCAAAGATGGTTGAGAATTGGGAAAGAGAGAAAATATAGAGATGGTTGGAGAGTTATTGATGAATTTTACCAAAATCTTGTGAATAAACAAGAACCGAGCAAAGATGAAGAGAGTTTCAATGTTTTGAACCTTTACTTGAACCGAAATGAAATCCTTCAACCAAGAGATAACGATGAGGAAGTCATGAGAGACAACATAATCAGCCTTATTTTCGCCGCCGAAGACACGACAAGTACAGCAATCTCTTGGTTCTTCTGGCTTGTGTCAAAAAATCCTGAAGCTATCAGTAAAATCAGAGAAGAACTAAAACTCAACGCGGCGCCAAAAGACGCCAACAAAGGCGATAAGGATCGTCCTCGTTCATTCGATTTCGATGAGCTGAGCAACCTTGTTTATCTCCATGCAGCTTTATGCGAATCCCTGAGGCTATTCCCATCGATTCCTTATGAAACCAGGACGCCAACACAACAGGACAAGCTTCCAAGCGGACACAGAGTGAATCAGAAGACGATAGTGATAATTTGTTCATATGCAATGGGGAGAATGCCGTCAGTGTGGGGCGAAGACTGCCATGAATTCAAGCCGGAGAGATGGATAACAGAAGAGGGAAAGATTAAACATGAGCCATCTCATAAATTTTTTGCCTTCAACACGAGGCCAAGAATGTGTCCCGGCAAAGAAATTGCTTTCGTCGTAATGAAGGCAATTGCTGCGGCTATAATTTATAACTATGATATTCAAGTACTAGAAAATCCCCCTGTGATTCCTAGTCTTAGTATCAGTTTACGCATGAAACATGGACTAATGGTTAGGGTTAAGAGGAAATCGTCATGAGCATAGATCAAAAGTTGTTTTGAGATTAGAATAATGAGTATTGACAGTTGCAGATGTATTGATACTACATTAATTATACGATAATGATATGAAAGTGTTATTTTATTATGGTTAAACTTTTGAATCCTATATTATATAGTGTTACTTAATTTTCTTGAAGAAAGATTATAGCCCAGTACTGCATTCTAGACTTTTCCAATTCTTTCATAAAGGGGTAAAAATTTTCAGTTAAGACTGATGCTCTTATACTTGTTATATAGAAGTTGTTTTGGCATTAATTGATCAGTGTTAGAATAAACTAAGAGTTCAGATGGGTTAAATTGTAAGAAATGAGAGTCAGATAGAAACAGTGTATTTCATACAACGGCTATATAGCCACCTCTCTCTTGTAAAAGTAAGAAAATCAGTTTTAATTGAAACATAATTCTCTCTTCTTCTTCGTTCTTTACTCTGGTTTTTCTTTCTTTGTTTTTCTAGGATCGAACACTTTCATGGTATCAGAGCCCTGGACACACATCTTTGGCAAATTTAAAACCTTGATCCTGCAAGTTTGGTCTCAATTTCTTACAAAATGCAAACGGATTCGGTACATTCAATCAATTCAGCCCTTCCACCATCTCTGCCATCAATTTCTGTAAAATTGGTTGAAAAGAACTACACCTATTGGAGTTCGCAAATCCTTCCGGCTCTTGCTTCTCACGAACTCGAAGGTCATGTTACGGGTGATCAAATGTGTCCTCCGATGTTCTTAATTGAGAAATCTGATGATTCTGCACAATCAAGCAAGAGAGGAAACCCTGATTACATCACTGGGAAACGAATTGATCAGTTCCTAGTTAGTTGGCTAATCTCTTCCATATCTGAATCCATGTTTCGTCATATTGCTAAGTGTTCTACTGCTTATGAGATCTGGACTACGCTTGAATTGCATTTTCAATCTGTCTCAAAAGCTCAAACTTTATATTTGAGAAGTCTTTTGCTAAGTACTAAAAAGGAATCTCTCAGTATAAATGACTATGTGTTGCGAATGAAGGAGCTTAAGGATGAATTAACAGCTTGTGGGGTTCCAATTGGTGATGAAGAGCTCTTATTGTATATCTTAGATGGATTGGGACCTGAGTAAGACGCTGTTATTGCTAACCTTACTTCCAACAGTAGTCAAGCTACTCTTAAGAGGGCCAGTTTTTACTTCATAAGCATGAAATAAGACTGGAGAGACAACATAATGCGTATTCTAGTTTTCATGACCATTTAGTCTAAGCTCTTGTAGCTTCGAAATAGAATACAGGTGATAATCTTGTAAGTTCTTAAGTTAAAATTCCTCTTCAGGAGAGAACTCAAGCTCACCAGTTAGTTTACCTTCAAATTTTGGCGTCCAACCTACTCAGGGTTTCTAGGCTTCTCCTCCTTTTAATGTGCCTCACAATCACCAGCTATCTACAATATATCCTCCTTTTGTTGGCAGTGGCATTTCTCAAGGGGAGTACAGACCTGATTTTACATCTCAATTTACAGCCTCATTTCCTCGCTATTCTGGAGTATCAGGTCACAACAAACAGTTTATGTCACCTGGTATGATGATGTTTGTCTCCAATATGCAAAAAGGTCGAGGTCGAGGTCGAGGATATTTTCTGCCAAGACTTATCTGTCAAGTCTGTGGGAAAGCTGGTCACTCTGCACTTCAGTGTTACCATAGATTTGACTATGGATATCAGGGCTTTAATGGCGCCTCTCCTGTTAATCCTGTCTCTACTCCACACTCACCTCATAGTCCTGCCAATGATTCTGCACAAGCTTTACTGGTAGCCAGAGCTATGCTATTCAACCCCAATCAATCTCCAGCTTATGGTTTTCCTGGTCCTATGTCTAATTTCACACCACCTTTGCCACAATCTCAGTACCATCCTTTATTGCACAAACTGGAGTTTCTCAGTCTCTTTCTTCATCAGTTTCACCTAGTGCTGCTGGCATCTCTCAAGCATCTGAAGCCATCCACTTACCTAAGCATCTTCAGTCATCTACATCTGTTGCCACTTCTCAATTCCTCAGTGATCAGAACTGGTTTGTTGACTCAGGGGCCACCAGTCATATGACTGCATACACTCATAATCTGCTAGTTNGTTTCTAGGCTTCTCCTCCTTTTAATGTGCCTCACAATCACCAGCTATCTACAATATATCCTCCTTTTGTTGGCAGTGGCATTTCTCAAGGGGAGTACAGACCTGATTTTACATCTCAATTTACAGCCTCATTTCCTCGCTATTCTGGAGTATCAGGTCACAACAAACAGTTTATGTCACCTGGTATGATGATGTTTGTCTCCAATATGCAAAAAGGTTGAGGTCGAGGTCGAGGATATTTTCTGCCAAGACTTATCTGTCAAGTCTGTGGGAAAGCTGGTCACTCTGCACTTCAGTGTTACCATAGATTTGACTATGGATATCAGGGCTTCAATGGCGCCTCTCCTGTTAATCCTGTCTCTGCTCCACACTCACCTCATAGTCCTGCCAATGATTCTGCACAAGCTTTACTGGTAGCCAGAGCTATGCTATTCAACCCCAATCAATCTCCAGCTTATGGTTTTCCTGGTCCTATGTCTTATTTCACACCACCTTTGCCACAATCTCAGTACTATCCTTCATTGCCACAAACTGGAGTTTCTCAGTCTCTTTCTTCATCAGTTTCACCTAGTGCCGCTGGCATCTTTCAAGCATCTGAAGCCATCCACTTACCTGAGCATCTTCAGTCATCTACATCTGTTGCCACTTCTCAATTCCTCACTGATCAGAACTGGTTTGTTGACTCAGGGGCCACCAATCATATGACTGCAGACACTCATAATCTGCTAGTTAAATCTAATTACCAAGGAGGCATTCTAGTCCAGGTTGGTAATGGGCAGTCAGTTCCCATTACACACACAGGTATGACTTTTATACCCTCTGCTTTCTCCTCTAAGGTGTTGCATTTATGAAATATGTTGTGTGTGCCTCAAATAGGAAAAAAATTATTAAGCATTTCTCAAATCACAAAGGACAATGATGTGATTGTGGAATTTCATGCTGATCACTGTTTTATAAAGGATAAAGTCACTAAGGACACTCTATTGCAAGGGAGTTTGAAAGATGGTTTGTATCAGTTGCAAATCTCTTTGCCTAGTTCTGAACTTCCTGCTGGTGCTGGTGTTACTTCCTTTTCTCCTGGCTCACAAGAGTTTTGTCCTCAACTTCATGTAGCAGACAATTCTGGTTCTACTTCAAATAACAATTCAAGCTCTCATTATGTTTCCCCTAATATTGTATCTAGCATAGCAAACAATAAGTGTACAGAATCCAATAATGTACCTGATGTAAAAGTTAGTCATACACTATTATGGCATGCTAGACTAGGCCATCCATAAGAGAAAACCTTGTGAAATGTACTGAACAAACTCAATGTATCAGGTTCCTTTGGTAATAAGATACCTTTATGTGAAGCATGTCAATTTGGAAAAAAAATGTAGCAAGTATCATTTCCTGGTTCTAAGTCTCATTTACAGGCTCCTTTTGAATTAGTCTATTCTGATTTGTGGGGACCTGCTTCAGTAGCTTCTTCTGAAGGTTTTAAATACTATATTGTTTTTGTTGATGATTTCAGTAGGTTTATGTGGATTTATCCCTTGAAAGCAAAGTCTGAAGCCTTCCTTGTCTTTCCTAAGTTCCACTGTCTAGTTGAAAAACAGTTCAATCATAAGTTGAAGTGCTTGCAAACAGATTGGGGAGGTGAATTCAGATCATTTTCTAAGTATTTGGAACAGAATGGTATTCTATTTTGACATCCCTGTCCTTACTTACATCAGTAGAATGGTCAAGTAGAAAGGAAGCATAAGGCAATTACAGAATTTGGGTTAGCTCTTCTTGCTCATGCTGCAATTCCTCTTTGTTTTTGGTGGCAATCTTTCAGTACAGCAGTCTATTTATTGAATCAACTTCCCTCAGCCTCTATTGGTTATTCCTCTTCTTTCCAAAAGCCATTTGATCAAGAACCCAACTGTAATGAGCTAAGAGTCTTTGGTTGCTGTTGTTACCCATTTATCAGGCCTTATCAGAAGCATAAACTCTCCTATCATACTGAAAAATGTATTTTTTTTGGGTTACAGTCTTATGCACAAATGATATTCTTCAGGCAGAATTTATATTGTTAAACAGGCCAAGTTTAATGAGTTTGATTTTCCTTTTAAAACTGGTTTTAATTGTGTGCTGTGCAAAGATTGTGATTTTGCAGATTTGACAGATGCTTACGTTACTGGTGATTCTTGGAGATTACCAAGCTGTTCATCAAAATCGGTTACTTCTACTTCTACTGATAACTCTTCCACTGCTGTCGACTCTGCCTCTACTACTGCTAACACTCATTCAATCCCCTTAGTTACTCCCCAGCTTCTCCATCACAAGATATTTCAGTAGCAGCCTCTACTGATCAACACAATCAATCTTTGGTCTCAAGATCTTCAGAGTGCTCAGTATCAATCCCTTCTACTTTACAAGATATTCATCTAGAAGTTGTGCTTCCTCTCTCACAACCTGTTCTAAATGACAATATCCATCCTATGATCACTAGATCCAAAAGCCATTTACAAAACTCAGCAGCTTATGCCTGTCTGTCCACTCACACTATTTTACCTGAGCCAAAATCTATTGCAGAAGCCTTATCTATCCCAGAATGGAAAGAGGCTATGCTTGCTGAATATGAAGCTCTCATGAAGAATCAGACTTGGGAGTTGGTCACTAAAACATGAATTTAGTAGGCTGTAAGTGGTTGTTTAGAACAAAGCTAAACTCTGATGGTTCCCTACAGAAATATAAAGTCAAGCTGGTTGTAAAGGGATTTCAACAAACTCCAGAGTTAGACTATTTTGATACATTCTCTCAAATAATTAAAGCTGCCACTATAAGGGTCATGTTATCTTTAGCAGTTTATTATTAGTGGGATATCCGGCAAATTGATATAAATGACGCCTTTCTCAATGGAGAGTTAGCAGAAACAGTTTTCATGGCTCAACCAGATGGCTTCGCTAATACATCTCATTCAAATCATGTGTGTAAGCTTCACAAAACCTTATACGGCTTAAAACAAGCTCCTAGATCTTGGTTTGACAAGCTCAAAAGTGCTTTACTATCTTGGGGATTTGTTAATTCAACCTCTGATGTTAGTCTATTTTATTTTAAAAGAGGATCTCAAATTGTCTATCTTTTGGTGTACATGGATGATATCCTTCTTATGGGCAATGATTCTCCACTCATCTCTAGATTGTCTCCGATCTGAACAAGCAATTTGCACTCAAGACTCTAGGTGCTCTTCACTATTTTCTTGGATTTGAGGTAACAAGAAATGATTCTGCCTTAATTTTGACTCAAACAATATATGCTCAAGAGTTACTGTCCAAGGCTGGTATGGCAGATTCAAAGCCTTGTAACACTCCTATGGCCATAGGTGTTAAGCTGAGCAAAGAAGACAATGAACCCTTTGATGAGCCCTCCCTCTATAGAAGAATTGTTGGAAGCCTACAATATCTTACTCTTTCCAGACCTGCCTTAGCTTTTGCAGTCAACAAACTAATTCAGTTCTTGCAAGCCCCTACAACTGCTTACTGGACTGCATGTAAAAGAGTACTAAGGTACATAAAGGGCACTCTTAAGCATGGATTAGTGTTTCACAGAAATCAGAATTTTATCCTAGAGGGTTATGCAGATGCAGATTGGGCAGGTGATGCTAGTGACAGAAAATCCACTACTGGATATAGCATCTTTCTTAGAGGAAATCTCATCTAGTGGAGCTCAAGAAAGCTAAAAGTGGAATCCTTGTCTTCAACAGAGGCTGAATATGGATCCTTATGTCAAGCTGCCACTGAATTAGTTTGGATTCAAAATTTGTTTCAGGAGCTTGGAATTGAAGCCAACAATACTCCTGTTCTATGGTGTGATAACAAGAGTGCAAGAGCTTTGTCTTCTAACCCTGTTTTTCATGCAAGAACAAAGCACATTGAAATAGATGTGCACTATGTTGGAGAGCTAGTAGCTGAGAAGAGGTTGTGTGTTCAGTATGTGGGGACTGAATATCAGCTTGCTGATATTTTAACTAAACCTTTGTCTACTCATAGGTTTCAACAGCTACGGGAGAAGTTAAAAATTGCAGATTCTTTGGTTGAAAAGGAACAAAATTTTGAACTGAATCTGGAGTCTCATAAACAAGAAAAGTGGGAGTCCAAGTTTAGCTAAATTTGCTACTTTGTGATGTGTTGAAGTTGTACTGTGATGAAGTGCTGAGTTGGTGAAGATTTGAAGTACTGTTGTTAGGCAAATCTGAATTGCAAATTTTTTTTCAGCTTGGTAAATTTTCTGCTGCTGAAAATCTGTCTGTTTGATGGATTTGATTGGTGAAGTTACTGTTATTTGGTATTTTGATGTTTGCTAAACTGAAGTGTTGAGTTGCTAAAGTCTTATGCTAAAGCTGAACTGTAGAGCTTAAGTGGTATTGAAGTGTTGGATTACTGAAGTTGTATGCTGAAGTGTTGGGTTCCTGAAGTTGTTGTTGGTATTAAAGTGTTGAATTACTGAAGTTGTATGCTGAAGTGTTGGGTTCCTGAAGCTGTAGTTGGTATTAAAGTTTTGAATTACTGAAGTTGTATGCTGAAGTGTTGGTTCCTGAAGTTGTAGTTTTTCATGTTGCACTGGAGTGTTAATTTGCTAATGTTGCACTGAAGTGTTGAGGCTGCACTGGAGTGTTGAGTTGCTAAGTTTGTTTATTTTGCGCTGGTTACTGAAGTTGTAGTTTTTCATGCTACACGTAAGTTTTAAGTTGCTAAACCTGCACTGAAGTGTTGAGTTGCTGAGTTTGTTAATTTTGCGCTGAAACTGAAGTGTTGGGTTGATGAAATGAAATTGTTGTTGTTTTATGCTGAAATAGAAGTATTGAGATACTGAAGTTGGAGTTTTCTGAAATGAAATGGTGAGCTGCTGAGTTTTCTGGAATCATAGTTTATTGATCTGAAGTGTTGGGCTGCTAAGTTTCTGCAATCATAGTTGAAGCACTGCTGTTATTGAGTGTTGATTGACCTTGAGTGGAAGTTAAAATTGTGAATCTTGTTCAATAAGATGTTTTAGTTTGAGGGGAATGTTAGAATAAAGATTAGAATGAGCAACTTAGAATGTTGTAAGGTGTTCTAGTTTAAGGGGGAATGTTAGAATAAACTTAGAGTGCAGGTGGGTTTATTTGTAAGAAATGAGAGTTAGATAGAAACGGTGCGTTTCATACAACGTTTATATATAAAAAGCCAGCTCGTAAGAAAATCAGTTTTAATTGATCATATTATTCCACTCTTACTTCGCCAGTAATCCGTGCTTCATCCCTAAACTAACACTAAGATTAGGGGTCACGACGTGGCTTAATTTCCAGCACTTGAATGACTCATTTCGTATATTATTGCTCATTATAATTTAATAAATACAAATCATTAAATTATTCGGTATACGATTTTGTGGAATCTGTTACTAGCTACATCCATCCTATCTAATTTTTTTCGCCTCCATTAAGTTAATGCCACGACAATTACAGTCCAAAATTGAATACTTTGAATTGCTAAATAATGACAGAAACAAATAAATACAAATTGAACTACAAATATTGTATCACATATCTTCAAGTTTGGATTTGTGCTTTATTTGATCCAAAAAAATTACATTACAACCTCTTTTTATAAATTTTCTTTCACAATTTTAATGTGATAGTTCACAATAAGTTCTACCTGATAAATTACGATTGACTAATTGTAAACTATCATATTGGGATTGTAAGAAAAAGTTTGTAAGAAAAAATTATAGATATAGTATTACTCTTATTTGATAGCTATGATTTAATTACTAGTAAGCAAATGTGTATAGTGATGAATGGTAAACTTTGGTGTATACGAAACTGATCAATGCTACAATAATACAAGTAAATTGATGTGAGTAATTAATTAATGTTAAGAAGAGTGGGCAAATTCGGATACTCATCAAAATCCTATGAACCGAAATCGGAGCCGGTCAGTTTCTAGAATTTGGAACTAGAGCCTTAGAACCCAAGTTTCGGTTCCGTTACCTAGTACTTTTCACAAATAAAAATATTTAATATAAATCAATATTTTATTTAATTTTTCTCTCTTCTCTCTCTTCTTTTTCATTATATAAATGTATATTTTATTAATTTTTTTTCTCTCCTTTCTCTTCTCTTTCATTCTCGTTCTTTTCAAAACTCTCTTTCTTCTCTTATTTCTCTTTGTTTTCTCCACTTCTCTCTCTTCTCCTCACTTCTCTTATTTTCTCTTCTCAAAACTTTGTTGACCACAACTGGCCTCCGTGTGGGGACCTTGAGGCAACCAGATCTAGCTGCCGCAAGGCCCTCACATGGCAGCCAAGCAATAGATAGGAAGAACTGAGGAGACAAGATCTGCTTCACAACTATAGATGCAAAAAATCTACCGTCATGAAAATAGGGTCTGATCCCGTGAAATTGAGGCCATTGACAATCCGCTAGACCTGCACACATGAGAGGGCAAGCGTGAAGTTTCCAAAAAACACCGGGGTGGTGTTTGTCGTAGGCACTCCGACGCTCAAGTCAGTAAGGCTGAAAGAGATTTAATAAAAATTAAGGAGAATAAGAATTACCAGGAGTCTTGTCGGAGGCTAGGACTACGGCGAAGGCGTCGGGTTCTTGGGAGAAAGAACTTAGGAGCAAATAGATGGTTTTGAGTAGTGTAGATTGACTATGGGAGATTGTCCCCCTTAATGAGAGGGCAAGCCTCTGTTTTTATAGTGAACCCAAGGGGTTGGAATCCTAGTAGGATATTGAGTCCTCTTTTGGGAGATAATCCATATCATAAAAGAGATATGATTTCTTTCCCTTATCAGATTAAGTTTAATAGTTTAAGTAAGATTTAGAATCTTAGTAGAAGAGTAAACAGAATGGGATTCTGATTTCTTATTTATGGACTATTGCAGGCTATCGGGTTGAAACCTAGTTTAGCTGAACTTATAGGATAGCCTAACTAATATAGTGGGTAGTTCACAAGGTGATTTTAAGCGTAGGCCAAATCGGGATTGGGTTGAAGCCTTGGGCTGTGGCATGTTTATTTCATTATTGGGCCTCGTTAAGTCCAAGATGATTTTTGGCCCTAACAGTTAGCCCCCCACTCTCTAAGTTAAAGATCATTTAGCTTAGAGAGTAGATTTAATCGAATAAGTGTAGACTGAGCGGAGTAGTGATAGCAGCTCGTTAGGTCGGATTGATCGTTTTGTAGATTGGGTCGATGACTTGTCGATTTGAGGTGCAAGTCCTTCAATTGGTCTAGGCCGATTGAATGTGTAAATTCATGAATCGGGCAGGGCCAATTTAAGGTGTAAACACGTGAATCGGGCTAGGCCGATCGAAGGTGTAAACTCGTGAGTCGGGCTGGGCCGATCGAAGGTGTAAACTCTTGAATCGGGCTGAGCCGATTCGAAGGTATAAACTCATGAATTGGGCAGGGTCGATCTAAAGGTGTAAATTCGTGAATCGGATAGGGCCGATTCGAAGATGTAAACTCGTGAATCGGGTAGGGTCGATTCGAAGGTGTAAACTCGTGAATCAGGCAGGGCTGATTCGAAGGTGTAGAATCATGAATCAGGCAGGGCCAATTTGAAGGTGTAAACTCATGAATCGGGCAGGGCCGATTCATGTAACTCGTGAATCGGGCAGGGCTGATTCGAAGGTGTAGATCTGTGGATCGGGCAAGGCCGATCTGAAGGTGTAGATCTGTGGATCGAGCAGGGTCGATCCAAAGGTGTAAATTAGTGAATCGAGCAGGGTCGATCCGAAGGTGTAAATCCGTGGATCGAGCAGGGTCAATCCGAAGGTGTAAATCCATGGATCGAGTAGGGTCGATCCAAAGGTGTAAAGTCGTGGATCAGGCAGGGCCGATCCGAATATGTAAATCCGTGAATCGAGCTGGGTCGATCCGAATGTGTAAATCCATGAATCAAACAGGGTCGATTCGAAGGTGTATACCAAGTGGAGCTTGTATAGAGCTTTCAGTTGAGTCGGCGTGACCGACTTGTAGTTGAAACCTTTGAGGCATCGACTTTGCAGTTGAAAACATTTGATTGAAGCTAGAGTAGTGACTTGCATGACATGCATCTTTTAAGCAAAGAGCCGAATGGAGAGTTAATATGCGTGGTGTTCATGTGTAATAAACCAAATGAAATAATAAGCCAAATAGAGAAAGAAAAAGACAT